AGAGATAGAAAGTGAAGAAAAACTTGTTTCAGTTGGATTCGTGTAGGGCAATGCAGTGCTTCTCAACAAGTTTTGAGATGTCTGGAAGCTTGCCTAAACTTCACTTGTTCTTTTCCAATAGCTAGATTGCCTTGAATGTCCTAGTGATACGGTGGGAGAACTGACTTGAGGTTTTGTGTTTTGTGTTTGCAAATGTTTCGGTTTAGCAAGAGTCGCCACCGGCTTTTTATTTTATCCTAAGGAAAGGTCAAAAAGTACAGGAAAGACCTTTGAGATGTTTTCTTGGGTTCGGGGAGTAGATTATGAAAAGGGAAGGTGCAAGCACCCTTTTCATCCATGGTTATCCATGGGATCTTAGTTACTAGTTTAAATCACTTGCTTTGCTTTTTCAATTGTTTGAAATGGTGCTTTTCAATTGTTTGAAATGGTGCTTTGGGCATGGTTTTGAAAGATGTTTTGAAAAGAGGCCATCATATTGGCAACCTTTGTAATGATTCTTGTTTTGAATGTATACAAAGATGTTTTTGTCTTTTGAAAAGTTTTCAATGTTTGAAAGTTGGATTTTTGAAGTTGTGTTGTGAAGTGTGTTTGAAAATAGCAAGGATATTTTTTTTACAAGCTTTTGATCAAGTAACTAAGAGCTATCTACCCTATTTTACTCAAAGATCTTTCTTATGTTTTTAACCCTTTTAACAATGTTATTTCACCATTGCATTTGGTGAACAACCTTGTGTTAGGATGTTAAACGGGACAGGCGCGGGTCATCGTATAGACCATGATAGCAATTGTGTCAAGTATTTTTGGCAATTTTGAGGGACTTGATCATTTTTGTTTAGGCAACTCAGATAGCGTCATCGAGGGACTATGATCTTTTGTTTTGTTTTTGTTTTGCCAAAGTACTTAACATGCATACCATGGCCCATTTTTGAAGGCAACAAGTGGATTGTAACCCTAGGGGTGCAAGTGTGCATTGTGTTTGTTTTTCATGCATTTTTGTCTTTGATTAGGTCAAACTATTTGTTAATTTGATTTTGGCATACAAACCCTAATTCTCTAATCATGGCATAATTGAAAGCGTTAAGTGCGAGAATTTAAATTCTAAACTATTACAACATGATTATGGGGATGGGGGTACAATTTTTGAATAGGGGGTATTTGACAAAAAATATAAACCCTAGTTACTATTACATCCAAATTGAATCTCAATGCAACAATATTTAAATGTACAATTATTTAAATAAACAAAATAAATAAATGTTAAATAAAATGTATTATACAAAAAAAGAAGTTTTTATTTGTTTATGTATGTAAAATATTTTCAATGAACAAGAATATAAAGAAATAAAAGATTAATTTTATTTATTAAAGGGGTAAACCCTAATTTTCCTTAAGAAAATAATATTATACATTATTTATATACAAAAATATATTAATATGTACAAAAATGAAATATATTGAAGAAAAGGTATTTTTTTAGTATAAAAAATAAAAAGGTAATATTTTTATATTTTTGTTCTAATTTTTTAATAAAATAAAAGTATATATATGTATATATATATATATATATATATATATATATATATATATATATATATATATATATATATATATATATATATATATATATATATATATATATATATATTATATATATATATATATATATATATATATATATATATATATATATATATATTATATATATATATATATATATATATATATATATATATATATATATTATATATATATATATATATATATATATATATATATATATATATATATATATATATATATATATATATATATATATATATATATATATATAATTATATATATATATATATATATATATATATATATATATATATATATATATATATTATATATTAAGTATGTATAAAATAAAATAAAATATATTCAAGAAAATATTTTCAGTGTGAATGAAAATAAGAAATAAAAATAAAAGTATTATTTACATTATTTTCAAGTTTTAATAAATAATATAAAGTATTTAAATTGTTTTTATGTTAGAAAAATCAAAATAAAATACCTAATAAATGTAAAAAAAAAGTGGAAATATTTTTAAGCATTTTTTATGTTTGAAAATAAAATATCAAAGTCAGAAAAGAAAACAAAAATTCAAAAATGCAAAAATATGAGAAATTGGGCCAGGGGTGCAAAAAGGAAAGAGGGGGGTGTCAAAGGCAAGAACAAGCCAGCCCAGCCCAAAGTCCAGCTTCGTCCCTGTCCTTGTGACTGAAACACACGCGCTTGCCCTGTTCAAATGCTAACTCCTGTATTTGTGATCTTTTGCCAAAACTCAAAACATGAAACTTGTAGAGCATCAAACCACGATTCTAACCATATAAAAAACTTAATCTAACTCTCAAAGACCAGATAGAATTTATCTGGCCCTAAAATCTGACCTAGTTTTTTCAGCATGTTCATGGATGAAATTCTCTTAGCACGTTTAATATAAATGAAAACTTAGCATATGTATGGCTTCATGGCCATGAGTACTACATCTTTCATTCATAAACCTAAGGCTAAATGTTTCCTAAATAGAGAGATAGAAGTTTGAGAAATACTTGTTTCAGTTGGATTCGAGTTGAACAATGCAACAACTTTCAGTGAGGCCTGAGGTTCTTTTGAGCTTGCTTGATGTTCCCTGGACCTTTCCCAATGCTTAGTTTGTTTTGAAATGGTCTGAATCTCTCTATAGAACTCAACCTGCTGTTTACCTTGGGTTTTGGTAAACAACCGCTGATCCTCCAAATGGTTACTTATTTGGTTACTCGTAGGATCGATCAGATTGATCCTATGGACATAGGTTGATTTTGAAGTTTGATTAAGTTGGATAAGGCTTTAAATAAAAGGTTTCAAGTAAATTGCATAAAAGGAAAGACTTGGTAAAATAAACAAGGCTTTAAGGTAAAGGTTCGACAGGAAATGTAAAGAGAAAAGCAAGTAAAATTCTGAGAAAGTAAATGACTTTAATTGATAAAATTGGTGTTTCACACATACATTTCTCAACAATTCTTTCTCACACGCTGGGTACTCGAATCTAAATGAGTGACTTTGTATAGAATTGTGAACACACGCGAGAAACTACACGTCTACTCCTATTTATACTAAAACATTCCAAGTAACCGTCGGGCAGTTACACTGCTTCGAGATCAATCCACTTGGCACGTTCTCCATGCTCGACGCTCCAGATCCTTGCACGTTTGCACGTGGTAACTGCTGGAAACCGTTTTCCCTCCAAAGCTTTGAATTTCAAACTGCTCCACTCTGGACCATCGAACACTTCCATCAAGAGACGTCTTCGACGAAAACGCCTTCGACGTCGAAGGCAATCAGCCTTCTTCCTTGGAAGAAATCTTCTAAGTATTTTGCCATCTTTCGACGGGCACTTCGACAGGCTTAGCCAGTCGAAAGCATCTTTCAGCTTTTAATGGCTGACATCAATCAAAACAAAGGTGTCGAATTTAGGAGCCAACAAATTGCCCCCCAAGAATGCCTTATTTCGACTCTGAAAGAAAAAGGCATTCTTTGAAAACGCCATTCGACACCTGTCTTTCCACGCTTAGTCACAAGTTAACTTGTGCACTTTTTGTTGCTTTTT